ACGTGATACAAAAACTTGTATACATTGAATAGGTAATTTCAAGTTGATGTGATGTTTTTTACATCAACAATGTGTATTACATAAGAACATTAAATTTATAATTAACTACTGTATCATAAAACTGAATCCATAAACGGAATAAATAATCCATTAAAACAATAATATATTTAAATGTGTTTCCGTAATTCCATCACACACGTGCAAAATAATCTATTTACGAGTAATTTGCATAAAAAGTTTAGCATTTTCTATTGTAAGGAAAGGACGAAAATGTTTATGACGCTGACAAATGAAGGTCATCCACTAAATCTTTAAATCTACGCAACTTCATAATTCCTATTTTGAAAAACTGTTGCTCGCAAAAACAAATCAACAAAATTTTGCACTAATTAGTAATTACGTTCCCTTTAGCCGCAGGCATGTTTTCTCAGGTAGGCGCCGACTACTACGGAGAAATATATTTGGTTATGTACAGGATGTCACAAGGTCTACAATTTCCGATAAAAAAATATTTTACGTAATCACTTGGAGCCACAATTTACAATTAGTTTCAAATATGTTCCATTCAAAGACTACACACTAAAGTTTTGTTTCTGGAAATGAAACGCCTATATAATTTTACTAATTTAGATGCTTTGTACAAAAAAAAGGAAAATTGATGTCAGATACAGGGCTTTTTATTAAAAATGGAGATTTGGATTTTTGCACAAAAGTGTTTAATTTAATAGTGAAAAAATTAAATAAGGATTTTTAAACCACGCGATTAAATTTGCAAATTGTCAACTTTCTCATTTTTTCAAATGGGGGATCAAGACAATTTTTGGAAATCTAAACGTAAAAAATACATGATATTTCATCTCAATTTATTGGAAAAGACTGGTTGAAGGTGATTTCGATAAAACTTCCCTCACCCCTGAAGTGCGTATTATAAAAAATGTTTGCGATTTTTGTTTTCTGACAACCTCTGTAAAGTTAAAACCTCTGGTGTAAATAACACTCCTGCAGCTTTTTTCACTTCAATTTTTCAATTCTTTTTTCTTATTCTTTCAGTTTTTCGATTTGCAATTTTTTCAGTTTTTAAATTTAAATTTTCAGTTTTCAATTTTCCGACTTGAATTTTTCAATTTTTAGATTTACCAATTTTTCGATTTGAGTTTGTCGAGTTTTCAGTTCTAATTTTTTAAGTTTTTCGTTTCTCCAGTTTTTTGATTTGCGATTTTTCAATTTTTCGATTCTTTAATTTTTCATTTCTTCAAACTTTCGATTTGCAATATTTCGTTTCGGTTTTTATTTTGTTTTTACAATTTTTCAAAGTGCAATTTTTCAATTTTTATTTTTTCCTTTTTACGCCATGGAACTTTTCAAGTTTTCATTTTTAATTTTTTCAGTTTTTCGATTTTCCAACTTTTGAATGTTTCATTTTTTAGATTTTGCAATTTTTCAACCTGCAATTTCACCGATTTCACGAGTTTTGAATTTTTAATTTTTCAATTTTTCGATTTTTTATTTTTTATTTCGGTTTTTATTTTCTTAAACTTTTCAATTTTTCAGTTTTTCAATGTTCTGATTTTATTTTTGTTCTTTTCAATGTGAAATTTTTCAATTTTGTGGTTTTCAAATGTTCGATTTTTCAATTTTAGATTTTTCTGTTTCTCGATTTTTCAATTTTTAATTAGAAATTTTTCTAGTTTTCACTTAAATATGCACTAATAATAATAATAAGTATTATTTTTTTAAATTTTCACTTTTTCAATTTTACGATTTTTGAATGTTTCCATTTTTCAGTCATTGGATTTAAAAACTTTTTCATTTTTCAGTTTCTCTACACATATTTAATGTTTCGTTCTTTCAATGTTACAGTTTCTCGACTTTACAACTTTGACGATTCTATAATTTTTCCATTTAACAATTTTTGGGTTTTCCAATTTTTCGACTCGATTCGTTTCTTCTTCTTCATAATTTTTCGATTCACTAATTTATTTTTATTTTCAAATTTCACGATTTCTAGTTTTTCAAAAAGTCAACTGTTCGTTTCTTCAGTTCTTCGGTTTGCAATTTTTCGATTTTCAATTTTTTCCATTTTGCAACTTTTCGTTTTTTCAATTTTTTCTGATTTTCTAGGTTTTGGATTTTTCAATTTTTCAACTTTTCCAATTAAAAAATGGAAAAATTGCAAAATTGTAAAACCGAAAAATCAAAAATGAAAAAACGAAAAAGTTTAAAATGAAAACTTCGAAAAATATAAAAATTGGAAATTGAGAACTTGAAAAATTCAGGAAATCAAGAATTGAAAAATCGCAAAATTAAAAATTGAAACTGAAAAATCGGAACATGAAAAACTGTAATTGCGAAAAATTACAAAAACTGAAGAAACGAAAAAGTGGAAGTCGAGAAATCAAAAAATTGAACATTTTCATTGTTTCGGTTTCATAATTCCTCATTTTTTTCAACTATAATTTTATAGTTAAAAAAATTGTTCGAAAGTTGTTTCAAAAGAATTTCCCTCGCACCTAAAGTTCAATGAAACATTTCCACCTTTTCGAGTTGAGTTTTTTCTTTACACCATTTTGTGATGACGTCATCACCATTTTTGCAAAGACGCGTAGGTATATGAACTTTGATTGGTGCATTGTAATACTAAAAATAACAGTATTGTATTCCCAAAATTTTCTGGGAAAATAAAGTGAGCCGTTCCTAATTTAATCAGTAAAATAATTGACTCATTTATTAATTTTTTTCAGCCACCTATTTAAGCAAATCTAAAAAATATGAATTGAACCAATAAAAACTCATCATCTTTTGCACATATTTTGAGATGACGTCATCAATTTTTTGAGGTTGATAAACAGTTACAATAACTTCAAAACGTCTGCAAGATTAAAAAATATGTTTTCAGTTTTGCAATTCTTTATTTAATTAATACAATAAATCGATTCAGCCATTAATTTTTTTGAGACACCCTGTATAAGCAAATATAAAAAATATTAATGCAGTGATAATACACAAGTATAGACTCTTCATATTTTGCACATTTAAGATTTATTATTCAGCAATGTTTTAAGGTGATGTCATTAAGGGATGAGCAAATACATTTCATCAAATATTTACCAGGCTTATGATTATTTTTAAACCATCACCAAGATTTCAAAGCATTCGGTTTTGCAGTTCCTGATAACATCAATAAAATAAATTCACGCATTCATTAATTTTTCTGAGTCATCCTGTATAAACAAATCCAAAAAATATGAATAGAATGATAAATCACATGTATAGACACATCATATTTTGGACATTTTAGATAGGATTTATTCGGCAAACTTTTGAGTTGAAGTCGTCAATTTGTTGGAGGGGATAAGCAAATAAATTTTGATTAAAAGTTATTATGGTTATCATAACTTTAAAACACATTCAAAATTAAATTGCAAAATGTTTTATATTTTTTTTTGCCAAAAATCTGGACGTTTGGGGTAAAAACTCAAAACGGAGTCATAAACAACATGTGTCGGACTATGCTATTTTATACAATTTAAAACCCATTTACTATGCACAATTTTGAAGTGACGTCATAACTTTATTGGTGGGGATGATTAGACAAATTTTGATTAGCGTTTTATCATCTGCATGATATTCCTAATATACATACAAAATTTGATAACAATCGATTCAGTAGTTTCGGAGATTATGTGCCTAAATTGATACATTCTACAGACAGAGACCATTTTTTTTCCTACTCTAGGTCATGAAACGTCGGGAAAAAAATTAAAGTGGCAAGTGGCAGAAAGTAAAAATTACTTTAAAATTACTCCCCGTATAGGTAAAAATTTACATTGAAGAAAGAAAACAACTTTTGTATTTTGAATAAGACTTTTTTTTAACTATAATAAATTACATGTCAAAAATTTGAAGTAAATTAGAATTAGAAACTGTTTTTCGACAGTAGGTGGAACAATAGTTCTAACCACAGAAACCTGGTTGGAATGATCATATTTTCGTTGAACAATAGTTAGTTTTCATAGCAACAAAGTTCCTAGTATTGTTGAAAGAAATATTTAACTGCTACTTACTCGAAAATTTTGTTATGTAACCTGTCGTACAGTTTGTATTGCTGCATTGAGAAAACAATAACCTACCAAAAAAGTCGGCAAAAACGTAGTTCCATTTTCTGTTATGCTTCTAATATATGTAGTTAAGAAAGTTACATAATTCTAAACGACATAAGGAGTAGAATCTACTTAAAATGTTGGAACTATATTTATTATCGTCGTCTGCCTTTTAGTTGGTGCCTACTTATCAATATCATTAGTAATAAGCGAGATAGTGCCCATTAAATTAGAACCAAATCCAACTGAACGTATTTCTCTTTTTAAATTGTTGTCTATTCGAAACGTCTTCGTTAGAAAAAAATGTTCCTAAAACGGTCAAGGCCAAATTCCTTACCCAACAAAATTTTCTACCACTTCCACGAAAGTTATGTACCGATGAAAATATATATTATTAGTATCATTTAAATAATATAATATGTTAAACCAATTAAACAAAATGAGCATAAATCTGTATGAATTTTGTTTACGTATGTAATCTGAAGTTCTATGCTTACGCCAGAATCAAAATTATGTCCGTCATATCAAATTAGTGCATAATTTGCATGACCCTAAACAGTGTAACGAAAAAAGAATTAAAACTAAATCCAATTCAAGCATTACTTCCAATTTGGGTCAAACTCATTTAACACTTACAAACTTGATCGTAATATCCGCAATATGCTCTATTAAATTTAGCTGCAATATGTTAATGTTACATCATTGTTCTTCATAATTGTCAGCACAAAATCACGTAATAATAGCCTGTGTAAGTGCACATAAACTTTTAATTACGCAAGCTATAACAGATCGTTTACTGATAATCAACGTTACGAAGAACTGTTACGCATTCGGTAATTGATTTTTGGAAACATCTTGATGTCCTTTAACGCCGAATAACAATAAAAAATGAGTCATTACCTGCCAAATCGGATTTATTCCTTTCACGCCACTTTTCGACGAGACCCTGCACCAAAACATTGATGCACCTCGTGTTGCTGATGGCCGTAGCACATAATCCACAAGATTCACTGTCAGTACGGTCCAAACAGTCCTTACAGAAGGTATGTCCGCATTCAACAGTAACAGGTCCTTTCAACACATTCCTGCATATCGGGCAGTTGAAGAGCATCACCTTCCTGCTGTCGTCCATGGCATCGAAAAGGGCACTCTCGAACTGCTTGATCCGCAAAGTGGGCACTTTTTTCAGCCTCCTATGTTTCCTGGTCCTATCGGCGTCCTTCCTTAGCAGCCTGCGGTCGCACTTGAGCTTCGTCATGTCGCAGGACCTGACGCAGTTCAGAGACACCAGGAGTTCGGGGTATTTCCTGAGGATGTGGTCCACGTGCCTTTCGCGGTGAATCGAGCAGTCCCTTACATCACTGACTCCGTAATGTTGCATTGTTTTCACCGACTGTTCATGTAACCACGTGTAACGTTCAATTTGAGTGAAACGGTATCGATTTTTGCGAGCCACTTGCGCACTTACCGCGATTCGAATTATTCCCGCAAAATACTCCGCAACTCCACTAAGTAACTGGGAAAATATGTGATTCACTTGTTTATTCACCAGCCTTGATTATTTATAATTCACAAAATATTATTGCACGTCGAAATGGTCGTTACGTAAACGGTATTCTAATTGCGCTGGAGTTGGAGGTTACGTAACGGAACGGTCAACAATAAACAGATCGACTTGAAAAATTGGTTATGTAAAACGGGCGTCATACGTGAAGCACATGTACGATGCTGGTGTTGAACATTCGCGTGCCTTCTCCTCGCGGAGACTATCGACGGACTGAAGCCGGAGCACCCGAACGCGACCAAACTCACGCCAAACGCTGCCTTGGTTGATTACCAGCGTTCGTAGAACTCGCGGATGACGAATCGTACGCTCATTCTTATCACGGTACACCAGGTATATGTTAAGGTCACGTGTACTGTTATACGAACGGTTGTAACACGAAGTATTGTCTCCGGTTTTGCCACAGAAGTATGTTACAAAATTTTGGGACTAATTTGAACTGACTTGCGATCTAGTGGCCACGATAAATCTGTCAAAAGTCATATAAACTTCACTGACTTACAAATTAGAAACCTCATTGGACGCTTACCGAACCGTGCAATTCTAAACATTCTTCGAAATCAAAATAACCCTAAAACTAAAACAAGCATCTACCAGACAATAGCAGAATACAAGCAACAAACAGCTTGTTAAAATGTATCAAAAAGTGGACGACTTAAGATATTGACTAAAAAATTGCAGCGGAACGTCATTGCTAGTGAGCGGATTTATAAGCACAAAAAAATTAAGAATAAGCGCTTAAATAAGCACAACATTTTCAATAAAAAAGTTTTATTTTAAGCAAAAAAGCATTAAAAACAATCATATTACAAATCAAAGAACACTTCTTAGAACTTTGGATAAAATATTATTACAATAATCCTAGACTTTATATTTTACACACGTATTTCAGTTTTCTTTAAAACAATTTATGATTGCAATATGTTCCAAGTTGTCCACTGTAAAATTTTTTCGCCGATCATTTAAAATGTGTTTAAAATTGGAGAATGTGCGTTCAACATCCACACTCGTTGGCGCAAATTTGAATTTTGCAACTAATGTTGAATCCAACTCCAAATTTTCCACCTTCTGGCCTTGTAAAACACGAGCAACGTCGGAAAGAACACCGAAACCTGCATTTTTATTTAACACTTCGTCAAGTTTTTGAGATACTCTAGTACCAATATCACCCCTTACAGCGTTTGCTTGTTGTTTAAATTCTTTCACTAAGTTTATGGCATCTACCAACAACATGTTGGGTTTTTCTAACTTTTCTATTACCTCACATACGAATTGATAATTGCTTCTTAGAAAAGCTAGATCTTGTCGCAAATCTTTGTTTTTCAAAATATTTACGCAATCTTTAATCGATTGAGAAGAATCTTCGCTAAACTCCGTAACTATTTCCTCAAATTCTTTGATATATTTGTCATAATAAAATGTGGCCTGTAACCATGTTCCCCACCTCGTTATAATCGGCTCTGGGAGCAATGGTATGTTTGGAAATTTTTCCTTAAAATGTTGCACTCTTAGTGGGGCTTTAACAAAAATCTTTTTACCATTTGCCACTAATTTATTAACAGTAGGAAACTGCAAACGTATTCCTTCGGCCACTCTATTTAAACCGTGGGCAATGCAAGTAGAGTGAATTAAATTGGGGTACAATATTTTTAGATTATTCCTTGCTTTCAACATATAACGAGCTACATCCGAGATCATCAATAAAATTTTATTCGCCAGTACGACATTTGGCAAATATAGTGACGTAAGACTGTCATTTACAAATCTGGTAATCGTATTGCCATTTGTTTTATCTAACATTTTCAAACTTACTACATAGCCTCGACTAGGGAAATTTTCATTTAAGATTCCAACAATTAAACTTGCCACGTATCTTCCACAACCATCGGTTGTTTCATCGACAGCGAACCATAAATAATTATCTCCAATGCGATGTTTAATTTCGTTGTAAACTTGCTGAAACACTGGGCCTACATAATTTTTTCGGAGAGTACTTTCAACCGGAATATGTCGATTGCAGTGTTTTTCAAGGAATTCTTGAAGAGGGTGCTTTCACCAATTTTTTTAAAGGTATATTGGACTTGATCATCATTTTACATAAATCGAAATTAAACTGAAACTGCTCATCTTTTGTGGACGTAGATGCAACAGATTCATGTATGGTCTGCTGTTTAATTTTAGAAACTTCAAACATTTTCGTCCTTTCTACATGAAGAGTCGTTCTGACATGTTGCGTCACGTTATATTTTTTATCACTTTGAATCTAAAACAACGTACATATACAGGATTAACAAAGGAAAATAGATAAAAAAAAATTAGTGGGCTTACGGTTTTCACACAAGCTCTGCAGAATATTTTGTTGTTTTCTAATTTTAATTCTGGAAAATCCTTTATCCACTCATCCCGCGTCGATTTTACTTTCGGCATTCTTTTAAAATATTAGTAATATTACCAAAAAGAACTCAACATGTAACAAGGGAGAACCACGTATAACACTGTACTACAACAGATGCGATAGACTGATGGTTGTGACATAAACGGTTCATTTACTTAAAAGTTTCCATTAGAAAAATTTTAAGGTAGGTAGTTGGGTACAATAATCCTTTTTTCTAGAAAATCTTCAACGGTCTTGCCGCAAAATGCCGAAAAAGAACATCTGGTTTTAATTCATTATCAACGGAAGTAAGGATTTAAAGTCATAAAATCTATGGAGTATTTTTCCAATCCTATAATAAAATTCTATTACCCAAACGACCGGAACCTATTCACAGAAAGGGTCTTGAGTAAGTGTACTTCAATGGTCAAGTCCAAGTAAAATGCATACGATACGATACGGCTAACTAACAAGTATTTGTCATCCAGACAAGGCCGGCATTTGAACAAAATATGCATTAAAACTCATATTCGTCGAAAAAGCATTAAATAAACATATAAGTTTCAATATGTATAAAATTGAAAAAAAAGCAAATAAGCATAAAAAAAAATGTGTCAAATGACTCCAAATTGTATCATAGTTACAGATATAAAAAAGTTTTGAAGTGCTTACATTTTTCACAAATTTTAATTTAGGTTATATTTTGGATACATTTTGCAAAGCAAAAATGTCAACAACCTGTCAATCTTGACAGCTGACAACCGGAAATTATGAAAACATCCTAATACCAATTTCAACTAAAAATCCAGGACTGTCAACAGACGCAGTCATTTCTGAACACGCGGTATTTCTAATGGGACTGTAGGAAGAGAAATTAAAAACACTGGCATAAAATATCGTAAATAACGAAATACACAGAAAATCAGTTTGTGAGCACTCCTATAATATAGGAATAACAACATATTATGTTGTCGGGAATTATGCCGAAATCATTTTTCAAATGGCAGAAAAATCATACTGAATGATGAAAAGCATTACTTTCCGACCGTAAATTAACGAAGTATTGTAATAGGGTCCATCCGATGAATGGCTGCTTTCATATTTTCTCGACGTTTCATGACCCCTAGAGTATGAAACAATGGACCTCTCGTTCCTGTCCCGTCAGTTGTCTATCGTCTGTGTTGCGCTAACCAGAATGTGTTTAATTAATCATAATCATCTCCAACAACATTGTGCTGACTGAAAAGATTCTCTATGTAATTTGAGTTGCAAATCAATAAGACGAAATTGCGTACCCTTGAACTTGTCAATTATTTCAATATTTAAATATTTGTTCATAATTTTACTTCCCAAGCGTAAGCTAAGGAAGTATAGCAATCGATTCCATCGGCCGAATTGACACTTTTATATTTTCTCGATGTGTCATGACCTCTAGACTACGAAAAAAGTGGTCTCTCGTTTCGGGCTGTCTGTCTGTCTGCCTGTCTGGTGTCTGCATCCATTTCTATTAGAGAAGTAATCTCCGAAACTACTGAATCGATTGTTGTCAAATTTTGTATGTGTATTAGAAATACCATGTAGATGGTTAAATGCTAACTAAAATTTTGCTAATCATCTACACCACCAATGGGATAACGTTATCTACTTATAAAATAAGATACTCCTGTACTTGTGTGTCGAATTTTACCCTAGACATCCAGAATTTTTGGAAAAAATTCAATACTAAATAATAATATTTTGTAATATAACTTTGAAAATGGAAAACCGAATGGTCTGAAATCCTGTAAATATTTTAAAGTTATCGTAATCATGGTAATTCGTATATCCCCTCCCAAAAAATTGATGACGTCATCTCAAAATTTTGCCGAGTACGTCCTATCCAAAATATACAAAATATGATGAGTCTATACTTGTGATTTATCATTGCATTAAAAGTTTTTAAATTTCTTATTCATGGTGACTCAGAAAAATTAAATTAATAAAATTAATTAATTAAAGAGTTAATTTATTTTATTGATTAAATCAGGAACGGCTCTCTGCGTTTTTCCGAAAATTTGGGAGAACAATACTGTTATCATTAGTATTACAATCCACCTATCCAAAGTGATTTAGATGTCTTTGCAAGAATGTTGATGACGTCATCACAAAATTTTGTTAAGGGAAAACTCATTTGGAACGTACCCCCAGCATGCTTCTTCACATTTACTTTAAGGTTACATACATATCTTTATTTTAATTTATATAGGGTCCGCATAATCAAATTTTATCATTTTTCGAAAAAGCTGGATTTGTTAAATTTGTTTTATTGTATTTCAGGGGCAAGGGAAGTTGTCCCAAAACTTTGTAACATATGTCTAAATTCCATTTGCTTTCCAACTTCAAGGCAACTAAGTAAAGGATTCAACATACAGGGTCTCTAGAACGTACGAAAACAGTAAAATGTCTAGAGAACCGATTATACAAATCAACTGAAATTAGGTATATGGGTATGTACAAGAAATTGTGCTCTATTCGTCAAAAAAAAATTGTTTTGCCTCATTTATCTTCGAGATACTGGACAACTTGATTTTTTTTAATCACATTATGAATTCCAATTAATATACCGGGTGTCTGGAAAATGGTGGATTAATTTTTCACTACGCTCTTAATAATCAACTTGTGAGTCTGGGAACAATAGTAAAAAAATTCCTTCTCACATTTTAGTGGAGTTATAATTATTTTAAAATTGGTTCTTTTGCTACGTTTAACAACTAAACAACACATACATTATCACAATAACTAATAAGTCATAAAACTTTTAGTTAATATTTCTCCCGTCCATGACCATTTTTTATTACCTTTTCAGTCAGAATGTACAAAGAAATGGTTGTGTTG